GCCACCTTCTGAGCATTTATGGACGAAGCGGTTACAACCTCCCCATCAGCCGACCACAGGCGATGCTGCAGCGCATTTCGAGCAATCATGCACACCTCAAAAAAACAATTTTTGGACATATTATACCTAAGGTTCAGATAAAGAAAACAGAATTGAAAAGTTAACTCTGTCCTTTTTATTAAAGCGCCAGAAAACAACGTGCCTTTTAGTCGTTGACAAGACCAGAAAGAGTGTTCTCAAAGAGTTAATGTTGAATAATATATGTGAGGCATCGTGGTGAAATCAGTAGCTCATCAAACTAATGGAATCGAAGACCTAGGCATTTTTTCGTGGATTTGGCAATTTTCATGGAGTTTTTAGTTTTTGGTTCAGAACCATTAAAAATACATTTCTGTGTGGGTTTTACTGAAAAACGTGACTAAAGATAAAGACGTTGACCTAGTTTCATGGTTCAGTTGGTTGTTTTTTTAGAGTAAAATATCTTGCACAAAAAATGTAATTTTTCGATTTCCATGGACACTTAAGCTACGGAAGTCACCTAACTTTGAAGGTCATTTTCTCGCTATCTTTCAAATATCTCGACTTCTATTCAAGATAGATGCGTATTTTGTTTTTATTAAAAGCGAGGCAAATGAACATGCCATTAGATTACACCAATACCCTAATATTTCCAAAAATTGACGAGCGCCTGATTCCACCGAGCCATGATACATTGCTACTTCAGAATTACAAAGTTATTTCTGCTCAGTGCTTAGTTTTGAGAAATGTGACGTACCAAACTTTTGAGTTTCCCAGTGGACCAAGTTTTTTCAAATGCAATCTTTGAATATCTTGATAACGACCAAGAATAACTTTACAATTTTGATAAAGCAGATAAAACATTTGGTTTCTGATCTCATGTCTTAGTAACTCAAACCGGACAAAAATGTCAGATAGAACTTTGTAATTCTGAGGAAGCACAATAACTCTATATGCCCCAAAATAATTGTCGAGCGCCTAATTCTATTGGGTCGCGACCAAAGAAGTTTTATTTATTAATAGAGTTCGTGGCAATGTTGTTCCCTATGTAATTGAACAAGGGCTGCGTGTGCCCACTCTGGGATGCTGAGACTCAAGGGCAAAACATGCGCAGTTCAACAGACGGGTGAGTGCTTTTCGAGACTCACGTCGAGGCGTCTTGGTGGTCATAGGAGGATATCTACAAGTTTGCAATGGGGACAGGGTGGTGTTTAATACAATAGATCTCGTGGGGAGCAGGGTGGGGGCTAAGATTGTTCATGTAAATGGGGGCATGTCGGCCATGCCGATGGGGGTAAGAAGGCCCCCATGTCTGACATGTGTGACGTCACGGATGCAAACTCTAGCATTATATACAACCTCTTTGGCCATGACACATGATATATGACAGAGACTCACCAGAAATCTTTAGGGGTACCTAGCCAGGCCACAGGACACAGGGTGCCCGCCACTATGATGAGAAGGTAGCAGAAGGAGATGTCAATACCGCCCAAGTTGTGCAATAGGCCCTGCAGGTTCTGGGAGGCGAGGATGAGGAACACAATAGCCCCTCCAAACATGGTGAAGTTGATGGAGAAAGACACGACGACGCTGGAAAGATGTGAATGTATTGTCATACGAAGTAAGTATTTTTTAAATTATGTACATGGACGAATTTGGTGATAGTGACGTGTGTGTGTGTGTGTGTGTGTGTGTGTGTGTGTGTGTGTGTGTGTGTGTGTTTGTTTGTTTGTTTGTGTGTGTTTTTGTGTGTGTGGTGCGTGTTGCGCTGGGGAGTGGGAGGACGGAGAGGATTTACCCCCCCTTCCAAAAAAAAAGAGACAACTTTTATTCTTTTTGTATTTCGTTTTTCTGTCTCACTTACATTGTTTATCTCCCCTTTCTCTCTCTCTCTCTCTCTCTCTCTCTCTCTCTCTCTCTCTCTCTCTCTCTCTCTCTCTCT